GACGAGTCGGATCTCGCACTTGCCTTCAATTTAGTTAGTTTCTACACTCATACTACTAGCTAGCAACTCTTCTTTATGGTCCTCTCAATCACCCATCGAACTTGAGCCAATGTTGCGACTCTTTTTTGCAGTCTGGACAGCAGCACATGAACCGTGTGGTACTTCCTCATGCTTCAAAAAGAGCACTTATAAATACAAAGACGAACAATCAATCAATCAATCACTCCTAGCTAGATAGTATCAAGATGCCTCGGTTACGGTTTCGAAACAGACATCACCTTGGCGATTAGTGAGACGGAGCGACTGTGGGCGTTGGCCTTGAGGCGAGCTGTCTTGGACCGAAGGGAGGAATCGTTGGAGGAGTAAAACTCTGCGAATACGAGCACGTGCATCACGCCATTATCATGCCCCTGGGATTTGGACCCCATCACCCAGGAATCCATCTCAGTCGTTGCGGCATTTCGTCCACATATGTATTGCCATGGACCCAAGAAGACAACAAAGCCAGTCTACACTTCGTAGCAAGGAAACATCTACTACTAGCTAGTACCCACAACAAATATACAGCAAACACGGAGATCACAGCTGGAGGACTCTGGTCTGTTGAAGCTACTACATGAAGCACTGCCGTCCCGACTGCATTTTGTGTCTCTTGGATTTTCGAGTTTTATCCTCTCGAGACTTTGACCGGGAAGCCCAACACCGTGTCTCTGACGAATCGAATCCCTCTTCGGATACCCCTTCATTATTTGGAAAATTTCATGGCCTACGAGAACCCCAACTCCACGGCAGAGCAACTGTCGTCAACTTCATGCTCACCAAACAATCCCTACAGTTGGGGTGCACACTGCAATCTCCAAACGATGAGAATGATCCACACAGTGCTCCCATGGCAGGACTACTAGTACGCTGTGTTCCCGTGGCACGGCCATAAAATTTCGACTTTCGACCTTCGCGGCACCATGCCGAAGAAGCACTCTTGAAGCAGGCGCAAACCTTGCTCCAGCCAGTATAACAACGCAGCCATTGAGAATGCAACCAGCTTTCAATTGCGGTAGTAATATTTCTACAACCAATAAACTAACTAAAGCAAAATCCGTAAGAGTCCCTTTTCTTTGGATTATGCACCGGTACTTTACGGCAAGGTATCTTTGCATGTACGGTACGTTAGCAGTATGCTATCGTACTCGAGTAGATGGGGACCGGCAGCCAGCTACCTCTCTACTAGAGGATGGGATATGGCAACAATGGCAACATGACAGTTAACGACTTGAAGCCAGGACGAACGATGGAACTGACGTCACTATGGGTTTCCGGTACGTAGCGGTAGAGGTTAGAGGGGACTATGATGGGTAAAGTGATGAGGGCAGGATGCTCGAAAGCTCGAAAGTTGGCTTTCTTCGTGTGGTTTTTGGTACCGTACCGGTACTTTAATGCTTTGCACTCCCATTTGCAAGCTGTGCTTAAGTAAGTAATACCCTAAAAATGGTACCGAACAGGCCAACTCTTAAAAACCCTGGTGGTACGGTACGGTAAGACAATTGAACAGCATCGAAGAATTCTCGAGCATCTCTTTTGGTCGCGGAGAATCTTTCCGGGCCAGCCAAAGAACGCTTTCGGATAGCGCGGTACACACAATCTCAATCTCAAATCAGCGACCAAACTCTCACAGACCTCGGGAATAGAATAAGGAGCCCCAGTGCTTTTAATAAAATCAAAGGTGATACCCAACATTTTGGAGCGCCGACAATGGCAGAACTGATGCTTCGTACTCCGCACTCGAAAGAGTCCTTGTCGGACAACGGAGGTCCTCCCCGAAGCGGCGATTGGATGCAAGATGAGTCTCTTCCAGATAACTCCATGAATAATAACTCCATGCACTTGAGAACCACGCAGGCATTTGGACGTCGAAAGCGAAAGAACCGAGCCCGGCGCCAACGGAATTTTCTACTGGCAGTGGGTGCCACCCTGATTGGATTGGTCTTGTTGGTGGTACACGTCGAAGTATCCCTCTTGAATGCCGCCGCCAAAGTCTCGGGCGAAAAAATCGATCCTGCACGACGACGTGCTCACGAATTGGTGCAGCAGCAACCGTCAAACGACAATAATAACGATGCGCCGCAAGTTGTTGGCAAAAAGGACGGCAATGTACGAAAATTACTCAAGGCAGAATTGGAAAAGGCTGCCCAGAAAACTGGAAAAGATGTCGAAAAAATGAGTGTGGAAGAAGCATTGGCCATGCTAGGAGACAACAGCAAAACAGACAACAGCAAAAAGGACCCGCAAAAGACCAAGACAGAACTACCCAAAATGCAAAAGACTGAACAACCCCAACAAAAGCAAAAGACAGAACAACCCCAACAAAAGAAAACACCCGAGCCAAAAAAGGCGGAACCAAAGAAGGAACAGGAGATACAGGAGGAAGCACAAGAAGAAGACAACACGGACGATTATTCCAAAGCTCTCAAGGATGCCGCGGAAAAAGCTGGAAAACAAAAACCGGACGACACGGACGACTACCAGATACGACTCTCCACGAATAAGAAACTCACAAGCGTCAATCCCGAAGTGGCCAAGGCAGTGGCCGTCGTAGTGGGAAAGGCCGCCAAACAACCGGAACCAAGAACGGCAAACTTTTGCGCCAACAAACCAAAGGTCGAGGACAATACTCCTGTTGCACCGGCTGTTATTATCATGGGGATGGAAGACACATCCACCGATTTGCTCTGGCACGTGCTGGAACGCATTGCTCCACGTGATTCTATTCTCACGGATCCTCAAAATCGACAACCCAATCACATTCCCAAATTGGAATTTCTCAATCACATGGATCCTGCCAAGGAAGAAAGATTCTGGAAGGGACTCAAGGAAGAAAATCACGGACATTGGGTACAGGCTAGTCTCTGTAGTCAACAGATTCCCGAGAATAGAGATGAAGGAAAGGCGTCCAATTTGTTGGGATTCCCCTGGTTGACACTCATTACCAAAGACTCCATGGGTGCTGCTGCCGAAACCAAGATCAAGGATTCTCTCGATTTGCTCGATACATGGCCCAAACACAGCATCAAGGTTATCCGGTACCGGCGCAATTTGCTCGATATGATGATGCGCATGGAGCAATATTTGCATGCCGAGAAGGAGCAGAATGGAAGTGAGAAGTCGAGAGCACCCATGGGGGGAGTGACGCTGGATGCCGAAACATTGAAGCAAAAAATGGGGCTATGGGCGCTAAAGGAAGAAAATCTTGACAAGTTGCTGGAGCAAGAGCAGATCCCTCACATTGTTGTGCACCATGAAGTCATCTTTCCCTTTAATGAGTGGAGCGATTTGCTGGATGTGATTAACAACGTGGAATCATATCAAGTGCCACTCAATATGGCTGTTGACTACACCGATGTCCCACCGGATGAAAAACCGGAATTTACATCGAACATGGAACAGGAGTGGAAACACATTTTGAAATTCCTGCAACCCAATGCAAAATCACCCATTTCCCTCTATGACATCTTTCATGCTGCTGAATCATTTACTCGCAAAGATCAGGTCTTTTGGACGCAGCAAAATTCGCTCACAAATTATGACACTGTGCAACAGGTATTGAAAGGATCACGTTTCGAGTTGTTGGTTCGCGGCCAGAACTATGAGCACAACTATTATGGATCTGGCCACAAACCCCTTGCCATGGAGCCACCACCACAGGAAGAAGATGATCCCAATGACAGTCCAGAAGTTGCCAAGGCAGTGGCAGGAGCATTGGGAAAAATCTTCAAACAAGACTCACCCAAAACGGCAAACTTCTGTTCGCCCAATAAACCAAAAGTCGACAATGAGCTTCCGGTTGCACCTGCTGTCATTGTCATGGGGATGGAGGACACATCGACTGATTTGCTGTGGCACGTATTGGAACGCATTGCTCCTCCAAATTCTATTGCCGTTGATCCAGAAAATCGGCAGCCCGATCACATTCCCAAGTACCAATTCCTCAATCACATGGATCCTGCCAAGGAGGAGGAGTTCTGGGATCATTTGAAGAGAAACAACCACGGTCATTGGGTGCAGTCCAGTCTCTGCAGTCAACAGCTCCCTGAGAATAGAGATGAAGGAAAGGCTTCCAATTTGCTGGGATTCCCATGGCTCACAATTGTCACCAAGGAAACTGGAAAGACCACTGAATCCAAGATCAAGGATTCTCTTGATGTGCTCGACACCTGGCCACAACACAGCATCAGGGTCATCCGTTACCGGCGCAATTATCTTGACATGGTGATCCGTATGGAACAATATTTGAAGTCAGTATTGGAAGGGAAGGAAGAAGACAAGGCTGGAGGACCCATGGCGAGGGTTACCTTGGACAAGGACAAATTGTTGCATCAACTGCAAAAATGGAAGGAAAGAGAAGACGCCATTGACAAAATGCTGGTGGACGAGAAGATCCCTCACATTCTTGTGCACCATGCAACCATCTTTCCTTTTACTGAGTGGAACGATTTGGAGAATGTCGCCAAGGCAGTGGAATCCTATCAAGTGCCTCTCAATATTGCCATTGATTATGCCAACGTTCCGGCTGACGAACAACCACCAGAGCCAACATCCGCAATGGAAAAGGAATGGAATCGAATCTTGAATTTCATACAACCCAATGCCAGAGTACCTGTTTCCCTGTACGATATCTTTCATGCTGCAGATTCATTCCTCCGCAAAGATCAAGTCTTTTGGTCCCAACAGAACCAGATCATAAACTATGACCAGGTGGAGCACACATTGGGAGGAACAGAGTTTCAAATGCTGCTGCGCAAGAAGGTTTACAAACCCGACTATTATGGATGCTGCAACGACGATAAGGACGCTGGCAAGAAACTGTTCAAGGGCTGGAAAAAGGCAAGTGCCATTGCCGCCAAGCAACAGTAACGCTGCAGAAAGTGGCAGAGTCAGTGTAGTTTCGTTTGATGTTTCGTAGGTTATGTTTTGTAGAGTAATCAGTAACACAAATGGGATGTCACACTGTAGTTGTTTGGTTTCGACGGTCTAGCTGGGTCGCCTCGTCCAGCGTTTCAAAATGTGAGGGCAAAATGTACGAGTCTTTTTACGTGACTGATGGCATGAATGAACGTCGGTGGAATGGCATTAGTGAGATCCACATACGAAAATGATGACTTGTCTTTTCTTTGCTCCCAATGACCAGTCCCAACTTCCGCCAACGCAACAATACAGGCTCGTCGAGCCACGATGAAAGAAGAAGACACAGAGGGCACAACCATCCAGCACCAGTATATTAGTATCTAGCTAGCTATCCAGAGATCAACATGACGTTCCTACGATTCTTGTTTGCTTTGTCTCTGTTTCTTCAGGTCTCCTCCGTTGTGTCAGCTGGTACGCTCCGTGCTTCTATTGGCGCTGGAGTGCGACACTTGTCCGAGGAGGACGCCGAGACAGAAGCTCCTACCATGGAGCAAACTTGCGGGTGTTACGAGGATGAACCAGATTGCCTCTGCGACGACGAAGGATATGACGGCGACACACAAGCACCGAGTGGCGACGACGACGGCGGCTCTTGGGAATGTCCGTGCGATTGCAAACCAGAAGACAAGGGCTACCGACCTCACACGGTCAAAATGTACGCCATTCACAAGTCATTATTCAACGATGAAGGCGGCGATGAGATTTGTGTGAGCACTACCGCCAGTGCAGCACACAACTACAATCAACAAGCCCTTTGTGATGATGAATGTCTCTTTCCCGAAGGTGGCGAGCAAGGTGATGAAGACGAAGATAACAATTAAAACAGAAAGTAAGAACAACTGTTACTAGTAGAGAGTAAAATCAAAAACTCTGGGAAACAATACGGCATATCTACCGGTAACTATGTGTTTCACGCAACACACTGCTCAGCATCAACTTAGAAGAGCCAAGATTAGCTAAATAGTCTACGAATTACATGATTACATGTTCCTTCTCTGACTATAGCAAGAAAACCCAATCACAACAACCCTGTTTTGCTCTGGGCGGGCGGATATATAGCCGCCTGATCCAGCAGCAAGAAGATCCAGGCACGAACGTACCGGTAGGAACAGATCCTCTAGCTAGAGACGAGCCTTGCCAAAGCGTGGTGTCGGTTTTTGGTACGACCACTCGGATAGATTCAGAGCAGCCAAACCGGCTACGGTACCGTACACAGCTGTACCTAAAGTACACTTTGTAGCTAGCTAAGGGGTACACAGGGGAGAGTCAGTGCATGCAGCACGATATTAGCACTATGCAAAATTGGCGATTGCAGCCAACAAGCATGAATGATTCAATCAACTCGACCGAGTGACCGATCAAGCATCATTCACACTTGCCACCGATTCAGATCACCGTAACTTTACCAGGTGGTACCGGTACCGTAGCGATAGGGTCTCATAAACCAAGTACGAAAACAACCTAGAAGAATACAATGTCATTATCGTTATCATCATCAGCATCATCGTCAGCAGCAGCAGCTTCAGCCTTAGAGGCTGAAGCGAGTCGCATGGCTGGACTGTACTATAGTGACTGGTGCACAGGCAAATCCCAGTACAGTCGACATGATCTAGAGGCGCAAATCAGTCAAGCTTTGGCAGATGACTGTTATGTCATCGTGCCATGGGGGGATATGATATCCAAGCAAGACCTTATGGGTGTGCTCAAGTTTGCCTATGGCCGTTCCAAGAAAGGCATGAAAGTCACGGTGGATGAATTCCAGATCCTGAGTCAATTTGAATCATCGAAGGATGATACCACTTTGACACTAGTGACATTCCAAGAAACACAGACAGAACCCAAAAAGTCAGATGTTATCCGTCGAACCACAGCTTTGATGGAAACCCTTAGAGATGGATCCATTCGATGGAGACATATTCATGCAACTTGGATGGTGCCACCAGAGGAAGAAAGTGCCTTTGTAAGAAGGAGGGAAGACTCAGTTACAGCAACTTGTTGAAGAGATATCCAGGTTGTAGTCTACCGTACCGTACTTGACGTGGCATGTTCTGGAGCCACCACAACACGTGCACAAGACCTGGGCTGTCCAAGAGCATTGATTTGTCACTTGGATTGGACACGACTTTGCCTAGTTGAGTCACAGCTTTATCATACTAGGTTGGGTAAATATAGAGTTAAAGTCATGTAGTAGAAAACACTAAAGGATTGGTTTACCTGATCTCCCTGAAATTTGCATCCACGCATTCCATTTTCTGCTGGTCACTCTCACTATTTTGGAGCTTGGAGCCTTTGTGTGCCGCTGCATGCCCGTCATCGTTGGTCGTCGTCCACACGACAACAATCATGAGCTCATCGTCCTCATCGTCACCCCAAGCATTGGATGCTGAAGTCCGTCGTCTTGTCGGTGTTTACGGTGCCTGGTGTGCTGGCACGGTGGATCGCAATCGGGAAGTGTTCGAGGCCCAGTTGGGTGAATCCATGTCAAATGACTTTTACATCATCATGCCATGGGGAGATGTGACGTCAAAAGAGGATTTTATAGCCTTTCTCAAGTTTGGGTACGGTCGACAAACGGGAATGGAAGTGACAGTGGAGGATTTCAAGATCCTCCAAGAGTTTGAAACCAAGGACCACACAACGTTGACACTTGTGTCGTATCGGGAAATGCAGACGGAACCCAAAAAGTCAGATGTCATCCGCCAAACCACTGCCTTGATGGAGACTGTTCAAGATGGATCAATTCAATGGAGGCATATTCATTTATCATGGACACAACCACCACAAGAAGAAGGAGGGGCTCCAGCTTCCGGTGGAAAACATGTCAGGGCGAGCTTTTAATTCATTCATTGGGATCTCCTGTACATCCAGAGGGATAGCAACAATTCACACCTTTTTCAGAATCGATTAAATCAAATGGAGACTGGGGATGATTTATTCCATCAATGCAAAATGCAAAAGACCATCTTGCAATACACGTGTGTTGAGGCTTGCAGAAATGTCATTGGGATGTTGACTTCATGGGGGAGAAGAAAAAACAAACTTGAATTCTCTGATACTCAACCACCGTCACAACGAAAAAAGTCAACCAATCTGCAGTCCTTTCCTGTTCCCCCCAACATCTGGCGAACTCCAATTTTGCTTTGCCTGGGCTAGCTAGGTTTTACGTGTGCTCTCTAGAGAATCACAACTATGGATCCTTATTGATGAAATGGTTAGGTGCGGTAGTTTCGATTGGGCTTGTTTTAGATCCTCGTGCCGTGGGAAGGCAGGACGCCAACCGACTTCTTCTGGGTGCTCAGAGCTGAGCCACCGAGATTACAAAAGAGTTTTACGGCTTTCCTGGCTTCCGCCCATAGTCATCGTGGAGTCATTTGGAGAATACCCAGCCAAGTTCTTAATGACCATATATAATTAAATCCTATTTGGCACCTAATCGTACTTTTTACGGTACCGTACTAGTATACCCTTCCCCCAAGCCTGATCTCTTTCTTCGACCATCAGATTCTCAACAACATCTCAACCCTCCACCCTCCACACTGACCAACAAACACAGCACCGCCTCTCCTTATTAGCTCTCTCCACATATATATTATAAAGAACCACCATGATGTCTGTAGTAGCGCGTCTCTTTGTTTTCTTGTCGGCCTTTTGTGCCATGATGGCCTCTGCCCATTTGAATGTCCGCCGCCTGATCAATGAGGATGTGGACGTGAGTTGGTGGAGTGTGGATATCATGGGATGCCCCTGTGGCTGTGTGAACGATGCCGGAGTCCAAGGGTCTTGGATCATGGAGTTTGTGGATTCTGATTTTGACTTTCATTGTGTCACCATGGAGGAACCTCTGTGGGAACCAGAAGATCACCTCGAGCACATTTTTGATTGCATTGATGATATTGACACCCCCTCTGGCTTTTTGGCGCAAGGCTATTCTTGCAGTGCTTGAGACTGATGAGTCTGATTCATTGAGTGAAGAGCAAAGAAAAAAACGCATAGTGGGGTGAGCTTAGCGTTAGGAAGGCAAGACGAAAGAGCGGAGGAACCAAAAGAGTGACCAACCAGTTCCCAAAGACTTCTTTGGGAAGCAGGTACAAAATTCAAAGTAGTAACATGCATATAGAAATAGTTGTGAATTTCGTACTTTTTTATATTCTACACTTGACCTGTTCATCTTGCTGCCATTAACTAGCCAGCATCATCACAAACGTAGCCGAATGCGCGGAGCCAGAGTCTCTCCTTTGAAGGTTTCAAATTATTCCTAGTACCGTGGGTATCTGAGCATCCTGTAAGGTGGTATTCATGCAGCTCAGTTTCTCTATGCTCAAGAATCTTCTGCCAGGCAATCCTTTGCTTGCTGAGTTTCTGCCTGCTTGTCTACTATAGAAAGACACATCTTTCACAAACATTTGGTTTCGACAGAAACACCCTGAGCTAAAGCTATTGCAGTTGGATAGGCATGGCTGGATGAATCAAAGGGTATGCTTGGAAGAAATCACGTACACTCCTCTACCAACCCACTCCTTCCTCTAAGAATCCATGCACGTAACGTATGTCTATTTGAATGTTTTGTAACCCTTCTAAAACAATTATTATGCACTCACTCTACTGTCGGTTCTTTGCAACCAGCCTTCTGTCTGTCATACTGTTTACTCCTCCTCCTCAATCAGGTCCTCCTCGTCGATCAGATCCTCTTCTTCGATAAGATCCTCCTGGTCGATATCATTTTCGTCTAGACCATGTTCCAAGCAATGAACCTGTTGAAAGAATCCCAAACTTCCCGATTGCTCATCGTAGTTTTCACTCGAGTCAAAGTTGGAGATGTCCTCGAGACAATCGGATTCTCCCGTGCCGTAGTACTCGACAAAGCACTTGTCGGGTTCGCCGGGGCAGGTTTCACAACAAGTGGGTTCTTCACAGTCTTCATCGTACTCCGGATTGCACAATTCTCCATCCTTATTGACGACCCAAATGTCTTCTTCATAATCTTCATCTTCATCGGACGAGTCTTCTTCTTGACCAAATTCTTCGTAATACGCGTCCATGTCTTCATAGTCTTCCACATAGAGTGGCTGCTCGCCATCAATGTCATTCAAATCCGAGTCTTCAATAGGACGAACGTTGGTCACTTCGGGAGCGCTATTGTCCCATTCGTCCTCCTCCATGGACGACACAACCACAGTGGTGGACATGGCCAGCAGCAACAGCAGCACACCGATAAAAAGGCGAAGAGGAGTCATCTTGGTAAGTATTAGTTAGCTAGTATTGGAATAGCTAGATAGTAGCAACAAGACAAGAGAAGCCAAGGTTAATCGATGGATTGGTTGATTGTGCTGCTCTTTCTCTCAATTGAGAATGGTTGCCAATTGACGCGAGTAACGGTACTGCACGAGTTCACCCTCCAACCAGTCAATGACCATTTTGATAGAGAGTCTCAAAAATACTACAGAAGCGTGATTTCAGTGTTCCCTCGAGAGTCATTGGAATCTGTACCGGTCAGCTGCCAATGACTTTGAACTGAGGAGTGACTCGACTCGACTCGATCTTCAACGGGACTCCAAGCTTGAGAACCCAAAGATCCTTTGCGTTCGACCACCACTCCCTCCAAAACCACACGACCACACTACAAGAACTTGTCTCGGTACAGAAGTAGTACTAACAACATCCATCAAGCAACATGACTATCCTAAGACTATTCTGGTTGGCATTGCTATTGATGGTAGCCACCACCACAAGAGTGACATTGGCAGAAGAAGAAGAAGAAGAAATAATTGATGAAAACGAAGGCTACTATGAACACAACGATGACGAATACGAGCTTCGACGTTGCCATTGTCCCTGTGACACGGAGCATGGGACATACGATGAAGATACCGAGAATTTCAGTGCTTACGACTATGAAGGACATCATCTTTGCATTCACGATGACGAAAATTTCGATCCACACTTTCAAGAAGGTTCCAATGCTCCCGGGTATTGCGATGATTCTTGTCTCTATCTAGAAGACAATGACGGAAACAACGAAGAGCTCTAATAACAGTATTCCAGAAACACATACAACAATATTATCACACAAGTCCCACCAAACTATTCTACTGGAAAATGGAGAAAATTTGGAGCAATCTACTCCAAGAACCAAAATTGTCATAGCATGGCATGGCATGGAATCATGTCGTTATTATTACTCAACAATAATATTATTCTCACGTGATGAGACTTTTTTCCGTTGGGATTGATGGAATATTGAAAACTTGCTAGGAAGAGTTGCTTCTTGTGCGTGCGTACTACGGTACTAGTTATCTAGCAAGAAATGGAAACTACTAGAGTCTGTATGTAGACAAGGCAGCAAGTGTAGTCTTCTTTTCGTTCCAATTGGTTTTCAGCGACCCTTCTTGTTACTAATGTAGCTACGGTAGCTTGCTATATAGTTTAAAAGCCAGCCTGACAGATGATGGTACCGGTATAAATCTCTCTACTTTACTAGTGATCGCAGTTAGTTATCTCGTTGGATTGAAGCTTGGAACTGGAAAATGTTAAAAAAAGTTGTACAACCCCTCTCCTCCGCTCATTATTCCTCCTCAATTTATTTGTGGCTCCCAATTGCTTCCATGGAGCGAAGCAACCTATTCCAGAACTCTGCCTTTCTTCTTTGCCAAATCCCGGGCATGGGCCGGATTTTTGTAGATAACTGCAGCTAGCCAGTATGATACTAGTATTGCTCATGACTGACTGACTGACTGTTTGGCATCAAAAGGTGAGAGCTGGGTCAACACTTCAGGTTTCTATACATGTAAAATTAAAAGTTGATGCGCCATCGCTGGGAATTGCGGCCTTTTATAGGTTCAGGGTTCAGAATTTATTGCCACAGAGGTGCGAGCCTTAGAGGTGCCACAGAGGAGCCCTTGGAGGTGCAGAGTTTTGCCATAGACAGGAGCCCCTCTAAGGTGCAAAAAGGATGATCCCCAAGGAGCACCCCGGGTGCTCCTCATCTTCCACAGCAAAGAGAATACAATCTGCATCATCAAAAAGGTTGATGCGCCATCTGGGAATCGAACCCAGGGCTCAACGAAATTGTTCAAGGTGATGGCAACGTTGAATTTTACCACTAAACCAATGGCGCGCTCGGAGGAGTAAATCCTGCTACAATTGAGAATTTGCAAGTTCATAGATTGTAGTCCACGAGAAGTTCTCCCTAGATATCCACTTACTTGTTACCAAGTGGGAGTGAAGCAAGCAAATGCCCTGCATTACTTTTGAAAATAAAGATCATCACATTGGACTGTGTTGGTACATGTAGCCCAGACATTTGGGCTACTGGCTGCTTCCAGTGTGACTTGTGGTGGCATCGTCAACACAGGTTAGCCTCTACCAGTACTGTACCACCTCTCTACCGGTACATACGGAAGTCCTGAAACCAAGCAAGGCATCCCTCACATTTTGAAATAAATAGCCTACTCCCATAAAGTCTGATTTTTGGCTTGAGCTTCCGCAAAACCCCGAAAACAAGACCACAAATTTCCAACAAACGCTCATTTTCTTGCGTTGATTGCCTTCCCACCGCATCCAATCGACACACCAACTAGCTAATAACCATGGCTCGGCTATTGTTGATTGCCGCTCTGGCAGCATGCTCCGTGTTATCGGCATCTGCCGTCAACCTTCGAACCAAGGTCGCCGATACGGTGCGACAACTGGAAGCACCGACGGAGACGTTTGCGCCTACCATGGAATCCACGGCCGAAGAGAGCTTTGATCCATCGTTGTTGCAGGAATTGTTGGAATGGGAAATGGGGGACGACGATGGGGCCGAAATGGACGATCAACTTGCCGATATGGATGACGAGCTTTTGGAGGAAGCAGAAGAGTTTCTGTTTGATGAAGATGAGGAATACAATGGCTGCTTTTGTGAATGTATGGAAGAACGTGACGCCAACTATGCACCTGAGACTGTCAAGATGTACGACGTGGCTAGCAAGGATCCAATGTGTGTCAGCGATATTGACAGTGTAGTCTTGAACAAGGAGGGTCTCGCCCTATGCGATGATCAATGCTTGTTGGAAGACTTGGATTCACAGGAAGAAGAGGATGCAAAGGAAGGGGAAGAAGACAACTAAATAACGATCATCAATCAAGAATAACAAACACGCATTCAAGGCGCACAGTCATGGTGATCTACTGAATTGGATCTGTTAAAACACCACATAAAATACACTATAGAAAATTTACTACGTGTATCAAACGTTCTATTTTCTGTACCGTTAGCCCACTAGTTAGTTTCAGATTGCTGGTAGATAGGCGGCGTTTATCTTGTTTGCAAAACATTCTCAGTAGCCGGAACGGTAGCTAGCGAGAGTGGAGAAGTTATCATGTGCTTAGAGCGGACTATGGGTGGGAATTCGCACCAGAGGGCTAGCTAGTGAGGCATTGCAGGGAGGTTAAGTCGGACAGACAACAGGGAGCCGACTAATCGAAGGCGAAAGGAAACGCAAGGAAAGAAGCCGGGAAAGAGGAGTGGTAGACTATCGTGTGCATGTGGCATACTGGCACCAGGCACCGACACTACCTAGCTAGGGTTAGAGAGCTGGTTGTTAAGTGAAGCCTGGTGCTTTGTTGTCGAACAAGGGTGATAATACAGCTCGGGCTGGCTAATTCAAGATTCCTGAGAGCCTGGCAGAGACGCGGGAGTCGAAGATGAAGTCCAACACCGTCAATCGTTCCTGTTGTCAACCTCCAGTTATCCCACAGTGTCATTGTTGTATCTTTGACTTTCCTTTCAAGGATATTCGATGCGATACCTGCCTCGCCCCCATTTGCCATGATATTGTACCCCTTCGATAGGATCCATTCGAAAGGGTGCGGCATCCTGGGGGCGGGGATGTCCGCCAACTCTACCTCAGGAGTTTGTGGCCCTGGGTTTAACCGAGAGTTTACGGCTTCGTTGTGCTGTGGAAATATTTCCATTCCAAGCAAGCAAGCAAACATCAGCATTATTTATCTTCCGCTGAACATCAGCTAGCTAGCAGTTCTTACCTTTTGTGCATCACTTTGCTGATTGGGACCTATTAATAGTAGGCTCGTATCAAAGAGCAACACAATGAAGACGCTCTATCTGATGTTCGCATTGGCTGTGCTGCAGTGCGCCGCTGCAGAAATGCTTCGTGGAGTTGCTGTGAAATCGACAATGACAAACAAGCAAGAGGTATCGGAGAGAAAGTTACAGGGGAATTCACCAGGAACTCCAGCCACATCACCAGGCAGCCCTGCAGCAACACCGGGAACACCCGCCGCAACGCCTGGAACCCCTGCAACTCCAGGAACTCCCGCTGCACCAGGAACTCCAGCTGCTCCAGGAACACCCGCAGCTCCCGGAGCACCCGCAACTCCAGGCACACCCGCTGCTCCAGGAACTCCAGCCGCTCCAGGAACTCCTGCTGCTCCAGGAACACCCGCAACTCCGGGAACTCCAGCTTCACCAGGACCCCCCGCGGCAACACCTGGAACACCCGCAACTCCAGGAACACCCGCAGCTCCCGGAACTCCAGCTGCACCTGGAACTCCAGCTGCACCAGGAACTCCAGCTGCTCCTGCACCAACAACACCCGCACCGGCACCCACTGTGGCACCTGGAGACGATGATGGTCCCTATTTGGGTTGTTTTTGCGCCTGTGATTTGTTCTTTGATAAGCAAGATGGCACCGGTGTGATTATGTATGCTATTGAGGATGCTTTGATTGAATCGAACGCTGGATATTACATGTGTGTCACGGATGACGAGAGTATCCATTACAACACCAATCATTTGGCCATTTGCGACGATGAATGTTTCTTTGCCGATCACGAGGGACACCACCATCATGATCATCATGATCATGGCGACCATGGCCATGCACATGGACACGGAAATGAAACCGGCACTGATGACTCGCCATGGGACGACGACTGGCTGTAAGTACAAAATACCGAATGAGGCGTGTATGTGCTTTCGAAACCGTAATGGAAGATGATCCATAATTCTCACGTCTTGCGTTTCCACACAAGGTACTTTCATGGCGATGACGACTATGCCTGGGACGACGATTGGTCCTGGGACGACGATTGGTCGTATGACGATGACAATGTTACCGATGACACGGTTTCACACGATGACACGATAGAAAGAGACTAGGCAATCTTAATGGTGGATTGTTGGAGGTTGGATCGAGAAGTCGCGTCGGATGATTCTGTTTTGGATCATGCGTTGTTCCGCTTGGATCCCTCTGAATTGCACGGACACTGTAAAAGTGCGGGGTGCTAAGAAGTAAACCCTTAGTAGTAGATTGATAACTTTCAAAAAGATGCATATGTCAAGCTCAGTGTTTGGCGCTATGCTGGTTATTCTATTCAGTTAGTTGGATCTTTGCCAGATTGCTACGATCTGCGATCAATCAGTCAAAGAAAGGGCTGCAAGAATGGGTTGGCTTGTTTTTCGCGTTCCAGTGTCGTGGGTGGTCCATGGCCTGGGTAAATGACGGTTTTCTCATCCATAATTTCCACAAATCGTTTCAGTGACGCATCCATGTCTTGTGGACTGGACGTTGGGAAATCCGTCCGTCCAATCGACCCTTGCATGATGAAATCTCCCCCCAAGAATATCGGTGGCTCAGACGACGAAGAAGCAGATAATAAGAATCCCACTTGTCCTGGTGAATGACCCGGTGTTGGAATAATGTCAAAGGTCAAATTTCCCAGAGTCATGGTGGTTTGATCCGGTGTAAAATAGGTCAGATCATCGTGGGATGGCAGCGTGTCGGTTCCACCTTCTACGGTGAAACCAAAATCTTGGCATCGTTGTGGAAATGACTTGTAGATTTCTCGTTCGTTGGGATGCAGGTAAATGGGAACGTCACTACTACTGACATCAGTATCATCATCAGTACTGGTAGTACTAAGAAGCCCCAATCCAGCGATATGATCCAAATGAGCATGCGTTTGCCACACCGCTGTGAGCTGATAGTCTCTTTCCGTCATCCATTTCAAAAAGGCATTCAGTTCTTGTCGCGAGGAAGCACCACAATCCACAATGGCGGCCTGACGAGTCGCCGTACAGGCAATCACGTATTGGTTCATTTGAAATCCATTCACTGGACCGGACGCCATGTCCAACGGGGCCGTATCGGTCTTACTACTAGTAGTGTCGCTACCACCAGAGGCAGAAAAGGCTCGACCATGAGCTCTGGAAGAAACTGGAAAGTTACTGCTTCCACGGTGCAGGGATCTCCTTGTGCATGCAAAGGAAAGATCCTTGATGGCATCAGGAGATGCTGCTAGACGTAGACGAGTGGCAAAGAGGGACATGGCGCAATGGTCAAGGATCGAATGGTGGTTGCGATCTTGCGATCTTGGATCTTGTCGTGGCTTTGAACGAAACTTCAAATTTCATACAGCTCGCACTGGCTTTACGATTTCCGCCTTCCGGCTCGTGGCACCACCGAACGGAATGTGGAACGGCGATGAGCCACCATTCATCGAAGCTAGGAGAGGGCATGGGTATCATACCATACTGGCTAGTAGCTAGCTTCGAGAGGGAAAGTACTGAGTTCCAATGCTTGTTCTGAATGATTCGCTTTAATCTTCTCATTTGATTGGTCTGTTCGGAGCAACGTGGTCTACGGAGCGTTTCAAGGGGCAGCTCAATGTTATTCTACCTAGCTAGAAGAATGACTGGTTTGGATGATTCAAAGGGTGCACTGGCGTAACCAGCCTATATGGATATGGAGAAGAATCACAGCGCAAAGATTTGAATACCGCATATTGGATTGGCCTCGCAGAAAGCCCGATTACATGAGTGTCGCAGTACTTTCATAACTGTCGTATTCCCTCTCTAGGTCTCGCCTCCTGTCGTCGCTCATATTCCTTATCTTGAGCTTCTTCTTCTGTTTCTTCTTCTCATCGTTCAATACTCACTGGTCCGTCCTTTCTTTTTTCTTCTTTGGCGACTTCTTCTCTAGCATACGTGCTTTCCGGTCTGTCAGCAAGAGCTTTTCATCAAATTCCAACTGCACGCCACCAACAACAACGTCCTGGTTCTTCTTTCTGGGAACCATCATTTCCTTATGGTTGGCAGTGGCACGCAGATTGGCCCCTTCCACGCCTGTCAGAAAGGCTGCTGCCGCTGCAGCAGTACCAATGGTCTTGGAGTACTTGATGAAATAGATAGATGGAGAATGGGATTGTTTTTGAGGAACTTTTATAGCTTGAAGTGCAGCTTGGCACAGAAAGATCTCAAAATTGTGAGCAAACAAAATGAGCAAACAACTTGAACTGTGTGCTTTGCGTAGAGCATTCTTGTAGGCCCCTGGTTGTACCTGGTGTACATGCCACTCATGCTTCAAAGATCCTGGACGGTCTTGCTTTTTCCTGTGCTAGCTTGTGTTACTGTTGTCGACGGGTCCATGCACAGAATGATCAATCAACGAAATGAGATCAGCTTGTCACGCAGTTGGATGTAGTCCCCGGCTTGCCGGCTTCGACCGTACGATATGCCTGGAGCAAAAGATACGCTTTTCATCCATGCGTGGTGTTTCCACTCTGCAACCACCAAGACTGCAAACGACGACAACCACGCACAGTGGTAGAGGAAGCCTCTGGAAGTTTATGGTAGTGCACTGTTATTGAAAGGGATAAGAAGGTTGTAAAGAACATAGCTGCGAGCAGAGGTCAAGTCCTCCAGCTTGTCATAGCTGTGTGGAAAGGAGTGATGGATAAAAAACCATGTTCCGAATTTTCTCTTTCCGATGGTCTTTTTCGATCTCCTGATGGTCCCATAGTTCGAATCCAAGACACTGCCCACCGCGCGATCACGCTCCATCAACTCGAACGGCTGGTTGCCCATGTCGAAGAACAGTTGTCTTCAGGACCATGGCTACGAGACGACGGATCTCTCATTTCATCCCTCCATCAAGTGACACTCTATGATTTGAATCATCACCTGATCTTGCCCACCACACGGCCATTCAAGTGCAGTTTGGTAGAACTCTTGTCCGACACGAAAGGTCCTCAACCACCCGATGTATTCACATCACACTATTGGGGAGAACCAATCATACACCTTCTTCGTTGCCTTCAGCAACATGCCAAAGATCGGGGATTGGCGTGTCAACCAGGAGATGAGCAATACGTAGAGGGACAATCCTTGGGCAGATCACCACGGTATTGGATCTGTGCTTATGCGAACAATCAACACAATCTCGACGCCGAATTGTCCAATCATGGAACAGATTCGGTAGAACAAACGTCCTTTGTACGGGCCATGCGACAGAGCCGAGGAACTGTGTTGGTCGTAGATGACACTGCCACTTGCTTTTCCCGTCTATGGTGTGTTTATGAAATTTATTCGTCCTTGCTGGGAGGATGTCGATCCGATAGTCAGTATACCTTTGACTTCTATACAGCCATTGCAAAAGACAACAAGATCACGGCCGTAGGCATTATGGATGGAATGGCGGCTGTGGATTGCAATGCGGAAATGAAATGGGAACGAGAGTCCCAATTTCCCATGGAACGGCTGCGGCAAGGAATGAGCTTTGATTGTCGCAATGGGAGAGCCTCCCTAAGAGCCGATGAAATCAGGATTCATCAAGCCATTGGAAACGGTCAACAAAAGACAAGACTGAACAATACCGTCCATGGATTGGTCGCCGCCACGGTCTTGCGACGGGCTCTCGAATCACCACGTCAAGGACGACAAGTCGCATTGGAAGCTCTGCAACTGGGACGCATTCGAAAGCTATCTCTGTACATGGAAGATAGTTTCGCAGATTCACACGACAACATGATACGAGTCATAGACTCGTTGGATGGTGACGCCTGCGAACTGCTCTATCTGCAAAGCGACACGCTCGAGATGCTGCCATCCGATTTTGGACGATTTCAGCAGCTGAAACAACTCAGTTTCATGGGATGTCGTAGTTTGAAATGTCTTCCAGAGAGCTTTGGTGAACTTTGCTCGCTCCAAGAACTCCATTTGCAATTCTGCACCAGTCTCACGGAATTGCCCCACAATTTTGGCAGCCTCTCTTCCTTGTCATGGATCAGTCTCGATGGGTGTCCGATTGAAACCTTGCCGGGATCGTTTGGACAATTGACCAGTCTGTCTCGTTTGTACCTCACCGACTGTGCTTGCCTCCAACAATTGCCCGACAATTTGCATCAACTCAAATACCTGAAGATCCTCCATCTCAACCGTTGCATTCGTTTGGAACGGATGCCAGAGTCTCTCCCTTGTTCGCTCCACACCTTGCAACTGGAACGTTGCCAAAGCCTGACGCGCTTGCCCGTACGAATGCAAGAGTTGACAAGTCTACAAACGCTGAATCTCTGGCAATGCACTGGGCTGATAGCTCTCCCGCAACTGACGCAATCCAGTTTGACAACGATTCAGACGGGAGGTCTGGATCCACAACTTGTGGAGGGATGGGAAGCGTCAGGAAGAAAGTATTATGCATTGAAATTGGAAAGATAGGAGGTCCATGTCGCCGGAGCGAAAGTGAGCAACTCGTTTGCTGATGTCGACGCACGGGTCTCCCGCGAGGACGCGAAAATATACTCGTCGACAATCGACATCCACTTTTCCTATGACCATTCTGCAAACAAGCGTACCAGCACTTAGTTTAGAAACTCCAGTCTGCTTGGATTTGAACGCCGTCACATTTCTCCGGATTGATTTGATGCTTTGCAATCACCTGCCTACCGTACCCGTACCTACACAGAGCATTCTCGATCGTCGCTTACCAACCAGCAGAGTCAAAGGATTCGAAGCCAGCAGCGACACTCCCTTGGACGTGATCTTCTCGAAGACAGGTACTGGTACCTGGTACCGGTAGGAAAGACCGGAGACCTAAATATGGCCTATCTGTGAAATCCCCGCAGAAGTGGCATGTAGCACCCTCGAACATTCGTAATCATCTCCTCGGTTAGCCGCACTGAGGGCTTTGATAAGACAGCATTTATTTGTACTGCAGCGAGGATCGGATCATCGGGAGCCTGAAAGGCTTCGACGTTCTGGATGGTGCCCTCATCGGATCGTGTATACTTGTCTGCGTTTCTTGTTGCGCTTTCGAATCGTGTGGTAGTTTGTGACCAGCTGCCAGCCTTCGTAGGCCTCTTCGGGCACGAAAATTTGACGATGTGGACTGTGGACTTTGGCTCGTGAGCTTGAGAAGTTTCTTTGATCTCCATCATTCACTGCATCTTCTACTCGGCTGTCGAGCCCCCTTCTCTCGGCCGTCACGACAGGGTACGTGCTCGAAGAGCCTCTGCCGGGGATCGGGATCCCCTGTTGGCAAGCTTTCCGGAACCGGCAAGGACCGATAACACACACACAGTATAGATGGAGTTTGGTTTCAAAAGCAAAGTGGATGGTCGCACACGAAATACGATGCCGGTACGTTGTAAGTGCATGCTCCAGGGCTCGCACACATGGCTATGGCCAAAACATCCGATCAAACTACGTGCTCGTCGACAACAGTCGGCCGCCTCGTGACACTCCTTATGCCCATGCATATCATGGCTCGGCATTAACGGGTCAGGATGACGACCCGGCAAGAGATGGCGGGGTTACAATATGATTGATGGAGTCTGAAAGTTTTGACCGGTTTGGTAAATCAGAGCTCGACTTTTCTTATATTCATCCTTCCGTCAAAGAAGAATTGGAACAGGCACAATCGCATCCGCACAAAATAGGGGTACAGTCAAACCCAAGATAACAGGGCTGAGTGTACCACACTGGCCCATTGGTACAAGAGACGTTCTGCAAGAAGCATAGCTCCGGTGGTATTGTGCCAGACAAGCCAAGGTTGCCAGTTAGATTCAAAGAATCCAAGTTTGTCAAAAGGCCCAATGCAGATGGCACAGGTTCGGTCAACTGATTTGCATCCAAATTCAAGACTGTCAAACCAATCAGCTGACCAAACTCAGAAGGGACAGGTCCAGTGAACTGATTTTCGAAGCACCAAAATTGTGACAGTTCAGAGAGTCTTCCAAGCTCTGATGGAAGGGGTCCGGTGAACTGATATATGGTAAATTCCAAGTGAGACATTTTAGTGAGACTTCCAAGTTCCGAAGGAATTCACCCAGTGAACTGGTTTCCCCAAATGCCAACTCATGTAAGCCAGTTAGCTGTCCAAGCTCTGAAGGAATCTGGCCTGATAACTGATGTTCCAACAACCACAACATTTCCAAAACAATAAGCTGTCCAAGCACACTTGGGAGTTGCCCAGTCATGTGTCCGTCAGACAATACCAGAGCAGCCAAATCAGTCATCTCATACAATCCTGCAGGGAAGAGAGATGAAATTGATGTCTCAATCTCATTGAAAGTAAGCTCAAGGTGTGACAAGGCAGTCAACATGGTGATCTCTGGTGGAATAGAAGGTGTCAAACCAGAAAGCTGGAGGTCTTCCAACCAAAGAGAGGTAAATTTGCCATGATTGTTGCAGGGAAATGAAGCGCTGACACGTGGAAATTCCCAGAATTTTCCTTCATAGAAGAATCCAAATCCACTGGAGAACCAGTTGCACTCCTCCACTGTGTCATCCATCCACCCCAACGCCTTTATCAGAGCGTTCCAATTTTCTCCCTCAACGGCATAGTAGAATGTAGCAAGAGCAAACAATTGTTCCTTTCTCCATTCTGAAAGAAATGTGATGTTTTGATGATTCACAAGCCAATTCCATGCTCTCCACTGAGGTGTTTCACTGCCACTGTTGAGCCTAGCCAATGTTTGACGGGGTAGATTATCTAACAGCAGGCCCAGTGGGGGCTGATGATGGTGCTTCGGAAGGCTCTATGGAGCCATAAACAGTTGGTGTCTCTGTTGACCCCAAGACAACAACATCGGGCTCTCTGTTCTGATGTTTTCCAGTGACTGTGCCAACCACAATGGCTGCCACAATGACCAGTATCACCAACAATAAAGAGAATCCGAGACTGGACAGCTAATTCTCCAACGAAAGATATGGTGAATGCGATCAATAAATTGAGAGAAAGGAAGTATTGGAGATAAGAGGATTGTGAAGATACCGCCAAATCAATACCAAACCATTACTCCAATGCGGGGCCAATGAGAAGAATCTTATAAGGTTCTGCATGGATTTTGCATTTTCCCCAAAACCAAAATCAAAAAGATCGCCCATCGTAAAGAAGTGGAAAGAAAATACTAGTAGGGGTTTGTATGGGGAATTTTAGATTTACGTTCAATTTTTCCCTTATAGCGAACGGGCTTGGGTTGAAAATGGTCTTTGGGTGGAGTGGCAATTTGACAAAAGATAAATTATTGGGCCCAGGGCCTTGGGTAGGAGAGTAGGAAGGTTAAATATACTCAAGTGATACAGGTGTACATATTCAATCTTGGACTCCAAATAATCTGTCAGCAGTAATTATAAATAACTCGAAATCTGAGTGGGACTGCACATCCGCTACCACATCACTTGGCATTAGTAGTCAAGCGGCGCAAAAATTGCGCGCATCATTTACCACGTTTAGTCGGACAAAAGGTATCTGCGATGGTCCAACCCGAACACCGACGGGTGTCGGCACTTGTTATCCACTAGTCGACAATTTTATTCCCGGCACCAAGTGGTGCATTGTGGGGTAGCACACTGTGCCGGAAGTCGGCCAGGCACTATGAGACTGACCACGCATACCTTCAGCGGCATCTGGAAGCGTTGGCATTGCCAGTGTACGGTTAGTTGGTCACCGAGAATTGGCATAACTCCCTGCGAAATGATGGTAAAGCGGAGGAATCGATGACATGGCATCATGAGTACGTGCCGAAGATTGCTATGGTCATCGGATGAAAACAGCTGTCTTTTCACTACGTTGGTTGTCAAGAATGTCAATGCTAACGAGGCAGTACCGATTTTCCGATGTGAATGAAATGGCCGGTGCACACAGGAGGCAAGCGAGTGGTCCTACAAGGCGTCGCAATTTAGCCGACAATGCAGGGTCAATTAGTAATGGCTGACATTGACGTGAGGAGACCGGGCAGTCTCCTCAAGAGGGCGTCAGGAGATTCGCAGAAATGGAACTTGTGTCATCAAATCAACAATGAGAAGGACCTCCGGCCAAAGCTTGTGTTTGGAATCAAATAAAGCTGATTCATTTCGTGATGACAGTGCCAGCATCAGACTACAGTTACTTTAGGATGAGAGAGTAGCTTGATGGAACCATAGGCAGATCTGCTGCATGCATTAGCCAACGCGAGTCGCATTGCCTGAAAATGCTTTCCGGTGTTGACATGTGTGGGGATTGTGTGTGCTGTTGGTATGCGGCTTAATGGTGGTGGGAAGCCATTGAGAAGTGGATACCTTAAGTCTTTTAACCGGTAATTAGGGGCTATTGGGATGGGTGGATGTGTTGGTGTGGCTTGCACTTAGGAGTCGACCCGTGATTGCAGGTTCAAAAGACAAGTAAGCATTCCGGTGAGAACACCGGAGGGTAGGGAAGTGGACCCTGGTTTTAGATATCAGTTTGAAAAGTTTGTGTTTGCCGCCCTTTTAGCCGAGATTATGAGCTAGTAGATTTTGTTTCCGGACTTGAACGATACAAGACATTTACATCGCTTGTCTATCAATTTGACTTTCATTAAAGGCTCGTATTCAGAAAGCCTGTATTGGTGGCTCCTTGTCGAGAACTACAATTTGTTATTTGAGGCACGTTTGCGAGATGTGATTTGTAGTCTTCGTCGTTGAAGTAACCTCAATGTGTGATAGTAATGCTGTACGGTAGCTGAAGCCTCAGTTGGATTATCAATGAATCACCCAAAAATATCACGGTTTTCTAATGTAGATATAGTAGATGATATATGATGGAAGCCCAGGATTGGGTTTAGTTGTTTCCGGCGAGTATAGTGGTTCTTTCTAGGATTTGTATGTGGTGTTATCTTTTGAAGTTGTGATTATGGGGAGTTTACGGAATGGGTATGGGTCATATCCGGTTTGGTACTACTGTTTGAGAGATTTAAGATGCCGGAGATGCGATTGGTGTGTTAATCCGAATTATCAATTTTTTTTGGGAGATTAATCATTTGGAGCGCTTCTAATTGATTAGGGATAGTTTATTTGTTTTAGTGTTCTGATTAATCGATCCGAATTCCGAATGTTTCATTCATTCCGATCAAGTTTGGTTTTTCTCTGTTGCTCTGGTACGTAAGTCCAGTACCGGCTCCGAAGTAGAATTATGTCAAGTGAACGATGCAGCCAGAGAGTTTGAGACGAGGTTCATGTTGGACAAGGGCGCTTGAAGTCGATTTGTTGAGGGAGAATTGGGATTGCTTAAGGTAATAGTTGTTAAGCGAGCTGCGTTCTGGTAGGTTGCTGTGAAGTCTTTGAGAAGATGCTGCTTGGAGAGTTCCGAGAAGCGTCCAGTCGACAAGTCAAGATTCTACAGTAGCCCGATCTTTCAAGGCCTTGGATATTTATTCCCGGAACTAGCCAAGTTTTTTGGTCCAAGATGGTGCGGGTGTAATCGTTTTTCTTCACCGTCCACTCTTGTGGCTCGGCATCTGTTTTCGGTTTTGATTACCAATTTCGAAAAGGTGATCTGTTTTTCATTGTGTCGGAGGGCGTTGCTGTACTTCTATGTGTTGTAGCGTTGTGCCGCGGGCTTCTGATGTTTTTGACCTGAAGAATGGTTGATAATCTTTCCGTGGATCTTTCCGCAGAGATTTTCAGTCCTCTATGGTCATGAGTGCGGCGTCTTGGGAGACTTGACTGACGATTTGATGCTACAAGCGTCTGCTTTTTGCCCCACGAGAGTTTTGGGAGGAGGTGGACAAGCCAACATTGAATCAGAGGGTTGAAATTTTTGGTTGCGAACGATTTGGAGATTTCCATTGGAGAATTCCCACATCACCCCATCCGTCTATTTATCATTTCTACATCTTTTTGGGACTTGAGTAAGTTACCAAAAAATTAGAATCATGGCAGAGAGATTACAAGAACGAGCATTTGGAAAGGAAATTATGGAGAATCACGCTTGTGAGAAAACCTCGCTTCCGTCCTGACATGTGGAGAGTTCAAGTAGAGTGACGCCACCCTGCTAGAATAACAGGAAAAGATACTCTAAGTGCGAGTGTTGGTTGTGATCCATGATTCATGGTCTGTCGAGGGTGTTGGGAATTGAGGATGCATGACTCAATGACTCGGTTGGATGGGTCGGTTTGATTCCTCGTTTGTTTGAAGACCCAAACTTCGATTTTGGCCGCATTAACATGGTTTATAAAGTGAACCGCACTGCGCAGTGGCCCATGACTCCTGGACGATTTCTGATGAGGAGGCCAGAATGAGCACTGGCATCCGCAGTTTGTTCGCTTAACAGAGTTGCGGAGGAGAGAAAACGAAGGGAACCAACGGTCATCCGGGAGTTATGTATTTT